GATCCTGACGCTGCCACGCATCGGCGATAACCTGATGAGAGATAAGGACATTAACTGCACCTTTGCTCAAGGGTGTGTATTAATCCTTTCCAAAATGCAGCCAAAATTTGTATTTCTAAGCCATTTTGTAGCAAACTAACACCCTCCCTGAACACAGCCTCTTATCGCGGTGCCACGTATCTCCTAGAAGCTTTACTGTCTCACCTAACGTAACACAAGGCTGCACTGAGAAGGTAAATATGCAGTCAAGGGCCTTAATTTGTAGGGTTTTACAGTCCTGGGGGCTAAGCTTCACTGCCTCCCTCTTGCTATCCTTGTTCTGCTGCTAGCCCCGTTTCCACAGATTTAAGCAGGAGTTTTGCCTAAGCAAGGAAGGTTGGATTTTCTATCTCTCTCGAAGAAATGGTTGAGTGGTAAAAAAAAAAAAGTCCTTGTCACTTGCTTTGGTTGAGCAGGACGTTCAGCTCACCTTCTGGGGACATGCTGATCGACTACCATGAGTTCTGTTTTTTCAGCTCTGTATTTGATGTAAATATTTCCTTACTACACTTGCCAATCAAGACCTGAGAAAAAAAATAAACCAATGTTTCTAGTTAGACTCACTGATGTTTATTTCGTTATTCAGTTCCTAGCCTCAGAAAAGCCAAAACCCTCTGTGAAGACAATAAATGAGGGTTTGGGGAAGTCTTGGGTAAGGGAAAAGGCAGTGATTTACACACCAGCCGGAGCTTTATGAAGCCGGAGTTCAGCTTCCAGCTTACCACTGCCTAAAATGACCTAAAATTATTTTCCCGGGGACTTGCAAGCTAGGCCCCGTAACACTCCCCCATCCCGGGGGCGCGCTGTGAAGGTGGATGAGATAAAGGCTCTGGAGGTACTCGGGTATTCTTGCCAAGGGGCTGATAAGAACCTGGGGAAAAAAAGAAGAATGCAAGAAACCCTTCGCTGGTCTCCTCCTCTTCAAACAAGCTGGGAAGGAGAGGAATTCAGAGAGAAACAACCTTCTTCCAAACTTAGAGTGTTGTCCTACTTCATTAAAAAACATAATTAGGGACTAGGTAAGTGTAACTAACCAACAGCAGGCAAACACTGAATGAAAACAGGTACCTACACAGGCTGTAAAGAAAAAATCAACAGAAAGGATTTAACACTGAAACGTCTATGAATTCATGGGCATTAAGAGATCGGATGTGTCTTAGCGGTTCTTAAGGGTGGCCTGGTGCAAGCCCCAGGTGCTTAAGCCGGGGAGAAGCGGGGCTCTCGCCGCCCCGGCGGTGCCAGGGTCTGCCCCAGCGCACTCAGCCTCACCACTGAGACGAAGCTGCATTTCAACACCACCACGTAGCAGATCTACTCACCAACCTGTCTCTAGGCAGACTAGCTCCAACCCTTAGCCCTCTTTTAATGCATTAGAAGTTTGCATTCCTCCTTAGGAAAGAGATCCTTCAAAGGGTAACACCAGGAAGAATCGGCAACGCTGAAGCAAACACAGCCTGGTGTCACTCCCGCAGTTACCACTAACTGATCACTTGCAGGGATCCTAGAATCATAGATTTGTTTAGGTTGGAAAAGACCTTTAAGATCATCAAGTCCAACCTAACCTTGCCTTCCCACCACTAAACCCTGTCCCTAAGCACCTCAAGCAGCACCTGCTCATCAGCAGCAATGCTGCCACATTGCTCAGCGATGGGCAGTCCTTCTGAAGCACCATGAGGAGATACTGCGGGCAACAGAAACAGTGGACCTGCTGGAGAACCATCATTTTGATGCTACTTTCATGTCTATTTTCTCTTTTCAACCTATTTACCCTTTATTTTACAAAAATCTGCTTATTCCAGGGAGGCATCAAAATTATAACAGCCTCATGGAAGTATGAATTCCACACACCTCAGCAGTCCTAACAGCAGCTTTCCTCACCCACCAACATGCTTTGATGCCCAGTGAAATAAACCCAGGTCCTAAACCCAAGCAGCAGCCCCAATAGCAATGGCATCCATCAGCAGCACCAGGCTTCTGACGCGCCCCACAAAAGCGGCCTTTCTTTGCAAAGGAGCAATAGACAAACACCTCACACAAGAAAATAACCAGCAAGAAAGCCAAGAAGTCCCAAACAGAGAAATAAGTGATACACCAGCCCAGCACCTCGCAGCCTGGTCAAACTGTTGCTCCTGTATGTGCAAAGCTGCAGGAAGCATCACCCATACCCACGTGTAGGTGGTCATCTGGAGGCAGCAGCAAGGACCCTCTTCGCTGAAGCATGCAAGGGGTTTTTTGGCAGGGCGGAAGCCCCTGTGGTTAGAGAAGGAAACCACAAGATGTTCACAAAAAAATATTTTAAAAAAGCATACCCCTGGGGCATGGGGCTTTATTGGTGGGTTTCAGATCACAGACCACCTGCCTTGCACAAAGCACCTTCTGCAGAGCAATTGCAAAGAAGAATTGCAACGAGAGCGACTGAGCACCTGAAGAACTCAGCTGCGTGTTGGTAGTGCATGTGCTTGGAGATGGAAAATATGCATGGATGTAAGCCATGGGACACCCATGTCTTGCTTGCTGGGCGATGAAGTAGGGTGTGCTCTGCCATCCACACGAGACCCCTCGAGTGCGCACAGGCAAAGGCAGCAGAATCCCTGCCAACAAACACAACCTGGGGCCCACAGCCAAGGCATGGGGCTTGTCCATGACTTCTGCAGAGTGGGAGCTGCTCTGAAGCCCGCGACGGCTGGGAGACAGCGGGCTGCGGTGGCTGATCCTACCTCAGGCACGAGCATCATCAGTCTGAACCTCTACAGAAGTCATCAAGACAAAATTCTTGAATCACCATGAAGAACCAGGAACAATAAATGAGCCCAAATTCTGGGTTAGAACTGAAATTCTTCAGAAATCTTTTTGTTTTCCCTTCCTTTTATCACAGATGCTGAACCACCTCTCTTTACCCAAGAGGGTCCCGATGACATCACATCCTCTCCAAAGAGCGACGCAGCCTCCTAAGTCAAGCGAGATCATCTCTGCTCCGCTGCACGCACCCACCCCAAGGACAACCACCCCTAGGAGAAGATGGCCGGCTCTCCTGCACTGCTCCTTCTCCTCGCTCTGGGGCTCTGTGAGTACGGACACAGCATTTGTGCATCACCATCCCCGGGAGGGGCAACCAAAACCCTTCCACGGGATCCAAGCAATTGGGCTAAATAGGTAAAGGGGACATAGAAAGCAAACCCAAAAGGCTGACTTTGAGGTTTGCTCAGTAATTGTGGGGCTAAAGGCGGCACCACCTCAGCCCGGGCAGGGCAGCCAGAGGGGTGGCTGCAGCATCATACGCACCGGGAAGGGAGCCCGGTCAGAGAAAAGGTTCTGGAGGGGAGAGGGGAGGGGGAAAAGAGGGTTGAGCAGTCAGTGGGTTTAGAGAGTCACTGCCAATAAGCTGGGAAGGGTACCATCCCGAGAAGGCAGCTGAAGAGCTTTTCTGAAGGGCAGCACCCATCTTTAAAGCCCGGCTGGCTGATTGCTGAGCACCCTCTGAGCACGATCCCAGCAAGGACTCCAATACAACCTTCAAGTCATCCAAGACAGCAGGGTCATCCTTTGCATTTCACCTCACACCCCAAGGACAGAGAACAAGGTTTGCCTGATGGGGACGTGGCTCTTCCCAAGTGGTTCCCACAAGGATTTCTCTCCCATAGGCTGCCCTGGCATCTGGGGCCAGAGGTACAAGATGACGCCCCAGCGGGGCCAGCGGCTGGAGCTGCAGTGCCATTCCGACAAGGAGGACAGCGGCGTATCCTGGGTCCGCCAGGACAAGGATGGGACCCTTCACTTCATCGTCTTCATTTCCTCCCTGGGCCGGACCACCTTTGAGCGGAATGAGGGGACAGCCACACGCTTTGAGGCAAGAAAAGACAACAGCTTCTACCGGCTGGTAGTGAAGTCTTTCATGACACAGGATGAGGGGAACTATTTCTGCCTCATGAACAGCAACCAAATGCTGTACTTCAGCCCTGGCCAGCCTGCCTTCTTCCCAGGTCAGCAACACCTCTACTCAACCTTGCTTAGCTCTGCCAAAATGCCCAGCACCCGCTCCCCATGCCTTTTTTAACCAGTTGCCTCTCCCATAAACCTCATTGCCCTGCTTGCTTGCCCAAGGCATCTTGTGACCACCGTACCTGCCCTCCTACCAGAGGCTCCCTGCTTGCTATTTCTTTGCATGGCACCACTCCTGCCCAAAGGCAAAGATGAACGGGCAGACCCAGCATCACCTCCCCATCCCCACTTCTCTGTCCCATTCGTGGCTCTAAAGGCATGAGAGAGAAGGAAAAGGCCACCACCAACACCACCACCCCCTTCCTCACCTCACCTAGGTCCCAAAGGTCTCACCAACCTCTGAGGGCTCAGGCTTTCTGAGGGTGGTGGCAGAAAGCAAGAAATAAGGAGGCTGCAGCTCCTTATTGGGTCTTGGGAGACCCTTCTTGGGAGGGGGTCACTATCCAAAATGGGCTCCATGAAGTCCCCCGGGACCTGAGCCCTGCACCAGCCACAGGAGCAGCTGTGCCATGGCAGGGG